TTTTGTTACAGCCTGTTATTTTTTGGAAATAAATGAATTGTTGATGTAAATTCTCAGAAGCACTTGCATGTGGGCAGGCACATCTGCATTCGTGGACACTACCAACTCTTGCGTATGGCGTTTGCACGCAAAACAGTTATCAATCCACGGGAATCTGATTGCAACTAGTGTAAAAAATGCAACAAAACAAAACTATGCTAACAGGCTCATCAATTTCCCCGCACAAATATTCCATAAGTGACTAGTTTTTATGACGTACGACTCACATGGCTTAACATCAGAAATCCACTGCTCAGACATATGTTCTACATTCCCACTAGAAATTGAAGCCCTGGCCTTTCCTTGCGCATCACGCCAACACGGCAAATGGAATTCGGACCGGAGCATCCAAAGTTTGCGACTTTGCTTTATTTCATGACAAAATGGCTATGGCGAATTGAAATCGGGTCTGTATGAGATGAGGTAAAACGACGTCGCCGCGGTGTTCCTGATGGTAGCAATCCTTCGCTTAATCAACAGAACACTCCCGAGAAATATGAATGTGGGGAGACTCCAGTCGAACCTTGTCAGTTTTTATGCGTTTTGTGCGGTGTAATAGCGTCACAAAACGCATATTATCACGGGGTTGTCTGTGTGTGTACGTTTGTGTGTGTGTGTCCCACATTTTGTCCCGCACTTTCAGCCCGGGAACCACAAAAGCTAGGCGGCTGAAATTTTTGTATAGTGTTCCCCACCAACGGGTGACGCGGCAAATTTAAATTCAGCCTCCCCGTACTCGCGGGTAACTCGTACGGCCCCGTGAAAGTTTTTTACGGGTAAGTCAATATGTGAGGAGCCACGGAGTTTAGGAGGCTGAAATTTTAGGGTAATGACCCCCTGCCCACGTTCAACTTTGCCCATTCAAATTCAGCGTTCCCGCGTTCTCGGGGATCACTTACGGGCTAGTGAAAGTTTTTACGGGTAAATTATTATCTCGGGAACCACGGGGTCTAGGAAGCTGAAATTTTAGGGTAGTAAGTCGCTGCCCACGCTCAACCTTGCCTATTCAAATTCAGCGTTTCCTCGCTGTTGAGTATCACCTACGGGCTCGTGAGAATTTTGGCGGCTAAACTATTAACTAGGGGATCAGGAAGGATATTCACCCTTCAAGGTTTCGAATTCAGCTTTCATGCGCTAGTGCGTGAAATTTTTAACTATTTTCCAATTCTTGAACTATTTTTGCATAGACAAAAGTACAGAGCAGTGAAAATCATTAACAGGCAATCGTTCGATGGGCTGAATTGCACAAAACGCATGATCGCACCGGAAGTCTGGTGCGCGTTGCTATTTATGACGGATAACTGCAGTGACCTGAAGTGAAACTTTCCAAAAAAAAGCTTTATTAAACAGACTGATTTAAAAAAAGACCGGAACAGCTGAAATAAGACAGAAAATAAGTGGTCGATATTACACACCATTGATATAAAGTGCTGCTGCGCACACCTCGTTGGAGAGTGCGCGAAAAAACAAACACAGTGGCCCTTCGTAAAAGTTTCTCTTAAAACAACGGCATTGGAATAAAAAAAAATCAATCTACGGAGGCCTACGAATAAACAACAGTGTGCCTCAAAACCTAACAGACATATTGGGGACAAGTCAAGGAAATGGACCACTCACTCCACACTGGTGCATCGACAAAGCTCACGGCATTGCTTTAATTCTCTCGGTTTGATCGTCGAGCTCCTTTGCAATTTCGGGCGGAAGATCCGAGCCAATCTGGAAGCACAAACAATCACCAGTAAAAGTAACGCCATTTTGTTTAAAAATATGAGTGACGAGATCGCGGAAATTACCTGTTGCGCGAAGAACTGCTTTGTTTCTTCCATATCCTCCAACCAGTACTTTTTGGGCAAGGACATCAGTTCTGCCCAGTTCACACTCGGAAGACCATCCAAATTGATCGAACCTAGAAATGTTTCTCAGCAACATTATCTGGATTGCACTACCCCCAGTTGGTAAACCGCACAGGAATCTCTACATTCGCTTACCCTCCTTCGGTAGATAGCCTATTGGCGACTCAACAGCAATGCTCTGGTCACCATCGCAACGTCTCAAGACCCAATCCAAGACACGGATGTTATCGCCATATCCAGGCCACAAGAACTTTCCATCGGAAGTCGTTCGGAACCAGTTAACGTGGAAGATCTTGGGCACCTTAAATCGCATAATTTACCTAATTTAAATAACACTTCGTCTTCCCGACGGGAAAACACTGCAGGCAACAAACCTTGTGTGGAGGCTGTCCAAGTTTCATCCAGTGGCGCATATAACGGCCAAAGTTGTATCCCATAAATGGTCGCATGGCCATTGGGTCGTGCATGATTTGCTTACCTGAACAAATTCATATCAGTCAGCCTCCTTTGCTAGACCACCAGGGCTGTATTATCTGTCGAACTGTTGTGGTACCTGCATGTTCGGCTGCAGCAGTGGCCTCAGATTTCACACAGGCGCCAACAAAAATGCCGTGAACCCAGTTGCGTGATTCGAACACAAGTGGAACGCCCTCAGGTCTGGAAATAAAATTTTCATAATCTAAGCTTACGTGATATCACCGCAGTGGTTCTAAGCACAGCGTGTACCTTCGACCTCCGAAAATGATAGCATCAACGGGCACGCCCTCGGGCTTCTCCCAGTCCGGATGGATGATCGGGCACTGCCCTGCCGGTGCAGTGAATCGTGAGTTCGGGTGCGCCGCTTTGCTCGGATCTCCAAGATGCCACGGCTTCCCAAGCCAGTCAATCATATCAACTTTCTGAAAATCACAAAATGAAAAGATTGACAAAACTATCTCTACAACACTCATCACTTCATTCCAATCATATAAGTGCGGGAAATTAGAGGATGTTCTACTCCTGTGATCCCAAAACTTGCCGGATTTTTGAGTTCCTTCTCAAGTCCTTCCCAG